TTATTAGATATTAAATGTCGATTATCATTGACGTAGTGAGTAATATTGTTTGAATATTTTACCCACACTTAGATTTAATTTCCAGATTCTAAATATTACTTTGGCTAAGACTGAGATAACTAAATAATTAATTTAATTAACTGCTTAAACTAAATTGAAAGCAGTGTCAAGGAATACTTACAATTGAACAGTAGAATTTTACTATCAAGAAATAGGTCAAAAAGGAAATCACTAAGCACAGACCTTTAAATATCATGATTTACGATGTTTTACTCTTGTTATATTTGTTTCAGCATTCAAGTAATTATAACTTCGTTTGCCAAGATGATCTGAGACAAAATACCATGGAGTTAGTCCTGGTATTAGGTAGTTTTCAAGTAAACCATGGTTACATAACTCCAGCACTAGATGAGAGATAAGGTATAAAAAGAAAACATTTCGTTAATCCCGTTAACAATTTGGTATACTTATTTCATCTGAGCACCATCGTTTCTCTCTACTCCTATTCGTAAAGTTCGTCTCATTCTTTTCTCTTTTAAGTTTATTTTAAGTCACTGAGTGATGTCATTGCAAAATATATTTTGCGGAGTCAACTTTTGTAGCCTCTAACAAACATTTTAACAAAGTATACAGTGGACATAGCTTTTCAATATATTTTCAAGTGCTCCCTCAGGGCCAGTAGCAAGCTCTTTACGTCAATGTATAGAAACAAGGTCAAGTGGTGGTTGTCAAGAGGAGGCTAAATCTGATAGCCAATGAGGGTGTCAAGAATCTGTAAAATATGATGAAAATAAGAGACCATTTACTACACTACTTATGCACGTTTTATTGATTTCAACACAAGAAAACCAAGACACATCAATATACGGTTATGTTCAAATTAGCACTGAGTTTATCTCAGCTTGGTTGCCCTGTCCAAAACGATGAAAACGCGAGAATGTCAAATTATTTATTGTCGAGGATATTTTTAAAAGATATTTTGAATCACGAAGGAGGAATCGAATCTTAAATGTTTCATATAGGATTAAAATCCTGCTTTCACATATTCGCTCAGTTGATCAAGCACGGGCCTTTACGATATTCTTTGGTAAAGAAAAACAAACATTAGCTTTATCAGGGATAGAAATTTCCAGAACAAGGCAATTCTTTGTTTACTATGATGTTTCAATTCATCAATTCTCCGCTCAGTTGAGGCTAACACTCAAAACAACGGCTTCCTGAACACGTTGTACCGTAGCAATAGCTTTTATCAATATTCATTCACTTTTATATACTCAAAGCTGAGTAAACTGAGATGCTATTTCGAAAAATTCCTTTTTCGTTGATCTTGTAGTCAGCAGAAACAGTCCGGAAAGTTTAATTCGTCTATGTTATTAGTGTAATACGAAGTTTCAAAATACTGTTGAAGTACGTGATTAAGTTGGCGGCTTTCCTAGTATAATTACTTGTCCTAGATATTTTTAATAAACAAAATCAACGAGTTTTTCTTGATCGACATGCGTGGTTGATCAGCCATAAAATTCAAATCACGACTGTCTAGTGAAAAACGTTCGGCATGCCACTGTGATAAAATGCTCAGAATAATTAAAATGGTTGTTGCTTGTTTGATACAACATCCGCAAAATGCAAGAACTTAGTGAAATTTGGTACCATGGCTACCATAGGCGATCAGTGACAAGCTCATTGACCCTGTATAAGACAGCAGTCGCTATCGTGGTTCTCATTTTGTGCGGAGTCCTTATGGTTGTGGTTGGAGTGACAAATAACAGCTCGCATATGAAAACAGGAGGTTATACGATGTGTTGTTTCGGATTAATCGCTGGACTCTGTTTTATTGGTATACGTTATTTAAAAAAGACAGCAAGTAATTTAGAGAATACAACTGAAGGAAACGAAAGTCCATTAACACGCAGTGTCGAACACATTGAGTTGCTGCTTCGCGAGGGACAGATGGGAAATAGCGAGGCTCAGACCAGAGGCTTATCGTCATCAAGAAGGGAATTAAACTTTCTTTTGACGAGAATCTTTGGTTATCCTCCTTCTTATGAGGAGGTAACAACGAATGATACTTATGACACCAGGACGCAGGTTCAATGTGACCCACCGCCATGTTACACAGATGATGAAATGTTAGCGGATGTAAGTTCATCGCCGCCATCTTACGAAACTGTTGTCTCAAGAACAGTAACAAGTGAAGTGTGAAAAATCTCCCCGCCGAGCCCCCCTCAGTTGATGAATCGTCCAAAAAAAAAATTATCCTTTCGTTGACTCTTCTGAGCTTCACGTAGGAAAAGGCGAGGCCGAGAGTGGAAGTCATTGCCAAGCTAGTTGGCGCAAGATTTAAAGTAAAACATACAACGTTCAGCAACATTACAATGTGAAGTACAATGTAACAACTCTAATTCCAGAGTTATAGTCAGCGGTGGAAAGAATTGAAGTTTCTTTTTACTACGACCGTAATTACACTGGCGTGGCTTTTCTTGACTGTCGCTCAAAACCCAATAATTCTGTATTGAGAGTACAAGGTACCCTGTCTCTACTTTAGGAAAAGCTTTTTGTTAGTCTGATCTCAATGACGTACTTCCGGAGTAATCTCGTACCTACCGTGTAACCGGAAAGCCATGGAAGGTCTGGGTACGAGCCTTCTTCCAGCGTGGATTTACGAAACTACTCGAATCTACGACGTTTCGACAGCATGTTACATGTTCTTCTTCAGGTGATCAGTGAGATTGAATGATAATGACGATTCGTTTAGAAGCATTTGCTTTGCCGTGATTGGTTGATTTTTCACTTCATTGTGATTGTGCTTTATAATAATGAGAAAGGAAACTACGCTGTTTAAAATAGTTCGGTTCGTTTTGTACAAAATCTCTTTTGCTTTTAAATTTCAAGTAACAGTTTTTCTCTTCTTCTGCCCCCTTTGTATTCTTTTCGTAATCACGCGCGGCTCGCGTGATTTCACAAATTAGCCAATCACGTCAAAAAAACTCTAACCTTGACATTGGAAAACTGACGTGGACATTTTTCGCGCACTTTTAGTTTGTTTTCGCGGAGTTTTAGTTGTTTTTGAGCTTTCATTTGCGTAAATTTGTTACCCCTTTGTTTGGAATTTTAAGAAGTTTCGGAGTTTTTACTTCAGCTAAATGTTGTGGTTCATTCAGCAAGTTTATTACATATTTTCTACGGAGTTTTGACTCCAGCCTCTTTTTTCGTAAATGGATTTTTTACTCGTTTCACGCGAGATCTGTGCACGCATGCCCTCCAGGCTCCAGGAATAACATCATGATATTCTCACTAGTATGAAAAATACGCAACTCGCGTCTCGGATATAGATTTGTATGAATTTCTCGACTGTTGTGTATTTTTCAGCGAGCCTCTTTTATGAATAAAATTTTCGTGACGTAGGACGTTAGGTGATGCACGAGAATATTTTTTTGTTTTAATTTCGCTATATTTTCGTTTCCGTCACTGTCACCGTCAAGATCTGGCCTGTGATGGGTTAACAACGTTTCGTTCCTGTGAGATAACGTGTGAAAAATGTGATTAGCTGAGCGTTACGTTGACTAAAGCACGCGTAAACACGCAAGGTACCGTGTTTTCCTAAAGCACGCGAGAACACGCAAGGTATTGTGTTTGCATATCAGGGCCAAGAATGTTGCGATCATAGTTATTATATATATACACACACACACACACATACACACACACATATATATATAATGTGACTATATAATGTGACTTAACAGTTCAAAGGTCGCGCTTGAAAGATGATGTAAAACTCTACAAGTTCCAGATATCACGCTTTCAGATTCGATAATCGTCACGAGGCAGTTATGTAACACTTAGAGCAATAGTGATTGCGTAAGACTTGTGTTTTCGAATATCTCCTCTCACGACCAAGGGGTGTGAAACAACTAGTGTGATGTGTTCTTAGTGCATTACTGCCGATCGCGTTATGTAACGCTCAAAGCACGTGAGATAACGCACGAGCCGAGGGAGGGGCATTACCTGTAAAGCGATATATATACATTTTTCCAAGGAAGTCGTTAGGTTTCCCTGAAGGCAAGATGTATCTTTTTCCATTCTTCTTTCCATCTCTTAACTTTGCGTAATCGAAATCTTTGCTCCAGAATTTTGCTCTCTATGATTCAAAATAAATTTTTTTGAACGGAGCCAGTCCAGTGCCTGTGGTGTTGTTACTATTTTCGCGCATGAGCATGGGGTTTCCTTCTCTTTTTCGAAGACCGTAACTTGGGATTTTTCTCAATTTGTCCCACTGCATTTTTGCCTCATCACATTTCGGGTTTAAATGAGATCAGTGTTTTCGGCCTTCTCTTCTTCCTCAGGTTTGTTATTTTTAGCTCCGGGCTTGAAAATTTGCTCGGTTTCGTTCCTCTCCATTTTTTTTCCATATCTTATCTCGGTTTGTAACCAGTTCGGTTTTGTTGGCTTCTCCATTCTCAGTTTTGTAAAATCCAGCCTGGAAAATCTGATCAGCAGTCGTGTTACTTGACAAGGTGAAACGACCGGTGTGTAATTGATGTCTAAGGGGGGTGGTCAGCCTATACTGGGCCCGTATATATAAGTAGATCTGTGCCTACTTTTGTCTTTTTCCGCCCGATTGACTTTTATAATGTGATTATTGCAAATGCTGAAACAAAAATTGACCTTTCTTAGCGGCACATGCCCGTAACAAGCCGAAAAGCTGCCTAACCTAACGTGAGTTACTGAACGTTGTTTATATATGTTTTAACGGATTGGTCTCAGACTATTACCCGAGCGGGTTCATGATCATAGTCATGATGAATCGTTATGTAATAATTAGCAAACGTGAGTTCATGTGTGAACGGTGATTTGAACGTCGTGTTTTTAGTGTTTTGTAACATGTAGTACGTGATATCACGCGTGAACCATTTGGGGCATCACTATTCGATAGCTTTACGATGTTCAACGTAAGATCCTACACTAAGAGCTGTTTCGTGGAGGTTCATAAGCCTTGTGGTTTCTCAGTTGATGTCAAGGAGATTTGTTTTCAAAAATCACCATGTTAAAGTGGACATTCATCTTGTCATCTTTGGAAAAATATTTGTTTGATTGTTGCTATGGTTTCCGCTAAACATCTATAAGAAATGAACTATAGGAACGTGATACTACACAACGATTCCAGGCTAAGGAACACTCGCAAAACAAGTCAACGTTTGCTTTTCAGCTGAAAACAAGGACAACGAGTGGTATGGAGAGAAACCAATCCATGCAAGGTATGAACTTATCACTGTGTGTGCGAAGAAACTGGGACAAGGGACATATATTAATAATAAAACGTTAATCTTCATGGCCTTTCTTGACAACAATTAGCTCGATTTTCTCGACAATTTCTTCCTTAAATATCCTCCATGATGATTCTAAAAAAAAAAGGGGAAAAATTCGTTTACAGAAAGTTTTGTTGTTTCACTTAGGCGGCACAAAAAAAACTTTCTATTATTATGAGATATTATTTACTGTTAGTAACATATGGGATTTCTCTCTTTACGTTATCGAAAGTCGTTAAGGGGCTGTCTTGGATGTACTGTGTTGGAGGAGATGCACTCAGTCATATTTAAAGTAGCCGTCCTTATTTGAAAAAAGTCGACATTGATCAGTGACAGATGATAATTTTAAACAGTATTGACTAATACACCTTGTAACCCAATGCTATTCCTCCTATTATCAAACAGTCCATTGTTACCCTTTAGAACATTTTTTTTGTTGCTGACCATAAATTCCTTGAATGAATCATGAAAGTTACGTTATTGTTTCCACTAGTAGTACCTCTGATCATTTGAAACTCTCTAGTTTAATAACTGTTAACATAACGTTTATGGCGTATTGTTTGTGTGTATTTATTCTCTGTCCACGATCGAGTTCCCTACAACTCCGTGGTAGAGCATGGGAATTCGGCGCAGAATCCGAAAGTCTGAGGTTCGAGTCTTCATTGGAACTCAGATTTTTCTTTATTCTATGCTAGTGGCAAAAAAATGAACAAATCTCTTTATTGAACAATCGAGTTTAACAATTATAGTCTTACTCATACTGGACTTACAATAGTTCCCTTCTAATCTGCCTTTTATTTTGATTTAGTTTTTCTTTAACAGTCTTACGAACGCGAAGGGAAACCGGCCTTATAATTGTGTTATTAACAAGAGAGGTCAGGTGGTACGGGACCCTTTGCAGTCTTTTACTGAAGGCTCTCGCTTCAGACTGAGATGAAAATCTAGGACTACTTGCAATATACTTAGCTTCATCCAAAATAGCATATTTTGACGCATGTGAAGTAATTACGACAATTCACAACGGAAATTGATTTCCCTCAACTTGCTGCCAGGTCTCAGATTTGATTGCGATACAAAAGTAGTCCGCGATGTCAAAAATATCATTTTGTTATTGTACGGCAGGTCAAATACATATTATTTATTCCTTACAAATTTCACTTGAATAATTTCCGTGCTCAAAAGTAACATTTAACATTCGCCGGTGAAATGACATTTAACACTTCTCGAGTAGTGAACTTAAGTATCGATCGAAATCAGCTATAATATAAAACCAAATTAATCAAACAACTAGTAAGTTTAGAGTACTCTAACTTAACAACTGTTAAAAGCTTAAATATTACGTTCTCCGCCTTCTATATGAGTTTCTGCTTGATCAAGAAATTGTCGATGAGGTAATCTACAGTGCCCGTAGTGCATGCATGGTATTGTGCCCGTAGTACATCTGAAGTCTGCGGATAAATGTAAGTGTCTGAGCAACTGCATCAACCCCTAACAGTCAAATATGATTGGTTAATGTAGGTTAGGGGAGGGGTAAGTGCGCTTTCATCCTCGTCCATCTTATCGCTAACAGGTGCGTTTAGCAAGGCTCCCAGCTGTGCAGACGATGACCCAAACGAAAATTTATCGTCATCATCATCCTCGTCATCATCATTAGTATCATCATCATCGTCATTATCATCGTGGAGAAAGACAATGGTTCCGGAGCACAACTATTCAAGGCCTTCAGATATAGATGAACTTAAAGAGTTGTTCTCGGATGTCGAAGCGCAGCAACAAGCCAAGGGCGATGTGAAACAGGTTGAAAAAGTTGCGGAGCTAAGACAGCAGCATCAGGAATGGTCACCAGTTTCCTCCTCCGAAAACGTGTTCAAGCTTGTGTTTGAGGCCAGCGGTGTGCGCTTAGCATTGAAAAACGATAAAACTGTAAGTAAATAAATTAAAAACAACTTTTTGATTCAGTATGGGAAGTAGTCCGGGATTACATTGCATGATTGTCTTTTCTTTACTGCCTGGTAGGTATTTAAATTTCATATCATCTCGAACAGCTATGATTCAGCTCGGTCATTCAGCTTGGTCATTCAGCTTAGTCATTCAGCTTGGTCACTTAAGGTTTTTGGCGTTTCACGCAGGCATTTTGTACGTCTCATTGCAGTTTCCACTTTAAATTTTACTTTATTTCGATTGACTGTTGGGATTAATTTGGTTTTGGTTTTGGTTTTTACGAAATTCGCTCTTTACAACTGAGGTGAATTCTTAGAATGGGATACATACCTAAATAATTTTATGGAGTAATGTTTACCGACCTAAAACCTTTGTTTTCTTCCTTTAAATCTCAGAAGCCACAAAAAGATCTTGAAAAACATAAGTGAACCTCAAGCCCGGTTATCAAGGTAGAAGTCCTTTCTGCTTCGTTCTTGGTCATCTGGAAGATGCATCAAAGGAGTGGGGGAACAGTGCTGATCCGAACAAACCACTAATACTCTTTTTTTTTTCGCTCTCCCTGCTTGGAAATGAAAACAAATTTTTATCCAGCCCTACGCCAGACTGTTGCACGCAAGTCCCGAAGACTAAAGTACATCATTTCTCATCCATACAAATTTCTTTTACTTTCCCTGTCAGATTGAAAGGAATTCTTCCACATAAAATCGCCTGATCTGTTCTTGATGTTAATTATTGTACCCAGGTCTCACTCCTCGGCAGGAAAATAGTTTTGTTAAGCAAAGTGTTTTATGATATTCTTAAATTATTCTAGAAATTCTTCCGTGACTGAAATAAAGTGCTCCAGTTATGTAATGGATCATACCTACGAACACTACAACGACATGAAATAATTGGCTATCGATTAGTTTTTTCCATAAATTCACGTAAAATCCGTCTTTGTTTTTTTAAAGTTTTTCAAATTGTCATAACTGAGGTGATAGGGCTTTAAACTAGAGACTTACAAACTTTGCAAGGTAAAACAGAAATGTATTTTACTAATTGAATTAGGTTGGTTATTTATAATGATGATCAAAAATTATCATATCATTTTCCGTTTCACTTGAGAGATTTAAAAATTGCTTTATATCTACCCAAATAATGTTGTCCGGGTGCATCGTTCTGGTGATTCATGACCATTTAATCGTTTACATCACAATTGAGAGTTTCAAATGTCAAGCCATCAAATGCTTGATCACAACGATCGGACTGCTTTCTTCCTCTCGTCATCGCCGGGCGATGAAGTTACGTCTTAGATAAATATATAAAAGCAACTGACATTTCCTCGCCCTCACAAAATGGAAGACAAATACCGGTATCATGACAAAAACAACCAGTGGGTGGCCACCACAAAAACCAAAATCTGTTTACTGTTCTAACTGGTCACATTGGTCACTCTTTAGGGTTGTCACGTCTTTACAAATGACCACATTTTTCATGGTGATCTGTAATATTGGTCTTGTCGCTAGCCACCGCCAAGGCTAGACACATTAATAGCGAAAATGCTTCAAAACATAAATTCAAAAATTTCCAATTTTCATTTATAATTATTTTCATCAACCTCCTTCCTGTCTTTCCCTACAAAACGAAGAAGAAGAGAAAGAAAAGGAAGAAAGGCGGACTTTCCTCTACCAGTCTTAGAAGTATAAAAGTGCTGACTTATGTCTTAATTTTCAAATTTTTGATACGCAGAGAAATTTGCCAGCCAGCTAGCTTTCGCTTTCGGCACGTTTAATATTTGGAGAATCGGCTCCGCGGGCAGACCAACCTCGCTTTGTACGTCAATGGAATGCAACAGTTTACCTAATAATCACTTTTAAAAATCCAGCGAAAATGCTATTAGTTTTTTGAATCCCTTACATTTCTGAGAATCTTTTGAAACCCTAAAAAATCCTATAAAATATCCGGTTTTTGGTCTTAGCCCTCCTTCCGTACTCTCACCAGCCCCCTAGAGAGCATCAATCCCGGCAGTCGTGACGATGGAAAAAAGACAACGTTTATTTAAGAGAACGTGCTCTAGGACTTCGACGCTCAGATCACTCTGATACATATATTTATTTCCGAGAGATCATTCTTTAAGGGCGCCGAAAGGATTTCACCTTTACGATTGCAAAAAGTCGGTGAAAAAGAGGAAGGAAATGACGACGATGATATTTCGTGTTTGTAGCCTGTTCCGAAAGGACAATAACAACATCGTCGCTTGACTCTGAAGATGACTTCCGCTCAGGATATCGAAACGTCAGATACTGCCACCGACAACAGTCCCTTTCAGTTTCTACTCTCCAGCTCCGGAAAATAATTTTAGCAAGCTTATTAAAGAATATTTTTGTAATATTTTGGGCTAAAATCGCAACATCTTCTTCGTTCACTAAGCCGTCTGTGAAATGAAAGACCATTAACAACGTATGTTGTCACTACGTAAACTTTTATCCATACCACGTGACGGTGACAAAAGTATCAAGTTCGCTTTAAATTTGGCATCGTAGGGGGGAAAAGTGTATCTATTTATCAGATTTTTTTCTTTTTCTTTGTCTATACATGTATGTTAGACACAGTTTGACTGACCATAGTTCCTTGAACTGTTCTTTACGTGCGCCGCAAATGAAGAATTTCTTGCACTATATGTGGCGTGACATTATATTTAGGCTCAAATGTTTGTGTTTACAGACCGCGCTGACAATACAACCTGCAGTCCAACACTGAAATATGCCAAACTATGAGGAAATTTAAACCTTTGCTTTGAAAACAACGACAGAAATTGACAGTAAAGATCAAGATCAACACAAAAAATTTAAATGTGGGAAGAATCAAAATATCTTTCGCTTTTAAAATAACTCTATAAAGATAAGGCTGTATGGAAATTTCTTGTTTTGAATATTTAAAGGTGGCATTTTAATGACTATGTCACTCGCGTTTCACGTGCACGGGAGATCAGAGACTGACCTGAACGATGCAATGTGCCCTGTGGCGATCTCGTTCGACTCTCGTGATACTGATTCGTTTTGAATATCACCCAAGGGAAACGCGTTGGCAATCACGTACATGAATTTCAATCACCCCTAGCATTCATTCAGCACGTGCTCTCGTTTGACAGCCATGACAATACATAATTTTTAGATCAGTCGCAAATTTTTTTTTACAGAGATTTCGGTTTCCGACAACATATCTCTGCATGAACTTCCACGTAAAAGCCAACCGAGCGTTTTTCGTCCGCTTTTTCACCAATTTAAGCCTTGTCATAAAAAAGGAAAGGGATAAATCGTTTTTCTAAACGCCAAAAAAATTTTCATTATTCAAATTAACCAACAGGCCTGAGTCGTGCATTGCATCGTACGGTGGTAAGTACAGCTTTCAACCGAACTCTGTGCTTTTAAAATTCTGCGTTCGTTTTTCTGGGCAATTTTCGTATGGGTTTTTTTTTCTACTCTGAAACTCATAATTCATTTGAAATACTAATGAAATCTTAAAAAAATTTTCATTCTGTAATCAGATTTTTTCCCTCAGCGCAATCACACCAATTGCCAAAACAAAGCAAGTGACCGTCATGAGTTTTTAGTTGGTCAACGTGCAAGCTTGACATTGAAGAAATTTTCGATGCCTCGATACCAAATGACTTTCTGTCAGTACAATTCGAACGGATATAAAGTTTCTGAATGGTGGATGTTCCTTTTCTTGTTGTACATCGCCAGTTTGATGGTGGGAGTCGTGTTTGTTGTGGCTGGCTTTACTTCATCTGATTATGGCATGGGCGCTGTCGGGTTAGTTTTGTGCATCGCGGGCGCATGTTTGGCCGTCTTATGTGACTTACTTCGAAGATTTGGTTGCGGTTGGAGGAAAATAATGGCCTCGCGATCGCCGCGTTTTGGAGACAACGGTCAAGAAAATCCAGACGCTGACATTGATTTTCCATATCTACCAGGCTACCCGGGATTTTCTACAGCTGTGGTTGATAATCCACCTTCATATGCAATTTGCTCGGGCGAACCGTTTGTAACCAGCCCTGACATTTCTTGCTCTTGCGGAGATACTTATGCGTGTGTCGATAATGGAAGATTAGAATCTTCCAACAACACTGATAGGATTCCAGAGGCGACTTGTACAACATTACCTCAGGATCATGGACCATCAAACTTTGGACCTGAGGTTGTAGGTACAGAGCAGAGGACTCTAAAACCATCACCACCTCCATATGACTTTGTTGTGGTTACCACTTTCGACACATCTAGACTGTCTTGGCTAAGGGATTCACCGCCTCCTTATGCAGAATTCGTTTAGTACATTCAACTAAAGACAATAGCTAAATGTCCGGCAGCCGAGCACGCAACAAGGCTGTATTATTTAACATATTTAATTTTTTCGACAAAGCCCAACATTACGCGATGCTTATCTAGGATGATTTTGGCTAAATTTTCTTAGTTAGTAATTTTCTTAACATGCGGAACAAGCGTGGCAGCATAAATTTGTTTTTGCGTTTTTCAATAGGGCGAAAGGTAAACGCGAGGGGTTCTGCTTTCGCGCGAACTCTCCCTTTCCCTCCTTGCCTCGCCCTCTATCTGCTCGCCTGAAAAACGCACATGAAAAAAAGCTTAAACGCAGGTTAGTCATTTGTAATCTGTGGAAATTTTTCTTTTTCTCACTCCTGTATGTGTTATTTTCGTTTTCTAATTTGTTTTTTCCCTCAAGTTGAAGGAACTTCTGGCATTTTTTCCGAAACGAATCCTTACATCAGATTGGTCACTACGCTCGTGCTGCCCTTGTACTACGGACTTGCAATATGACTAGGAGAGTTTTTCCCGAGTCAATTCGATTAAGTAATCGAGTACTGCTTCTCAATTGTGGGACAATTTTTTCCTTCTTATCGTGTAAAGCTTTTGTTCTCTTTTATTGACCTGCAATGTCTGACGATTTGCGAGATATGCCATTAAACAAAGGCGTTATTGTCAAAAATTATGTCTTTTGTTGTGTATCAAAGAGATTTGAATTTTTTATTTCAAATTTGTAAATTTGAAATTGATAATAATAGTTAAAAAATCAGCTTATGTGAATATTTAAAAGAAAATAAATAGTTGATAATTATTTATTTTTTACTGGCCGCTGGTTTCCTTGGCGGGTAATCATTTTGATCATATGTGATATCTCCTTCCATCCATTCGCCCTACTCCCCCCGTGTAAAGATAGAATGAGAGAATGGAAAAAACTAAATATCCTGTGTGCTGATTGAATACGGATATAAGCCAGTTTTGCCTTATCCCTACCCTCCCTCCCTACCTGCGTGAACTTACCCCCCCACACACACCCTACGTGAAGAGTAATAATAATAATAATAAACAAAAGTTAATTTACATGGCTCCCAGACACGAGTGACTAAATTTTCTCGGTCAAGATGGCTGGAAGTTAGCCAGGCAGCAGCAAGTTCAGCAGGAGGAGGATTTTGTCTATCTTGTCAGCATTTTAGTGTATTCTGTTTTCGCGGGCCTTCACGGTATAAAGCATATAGGCATGATTATTTTCATCTTAGAGACACATTTTAGATCGTCTTCAAAAACAAACACACAGTCGCCCTGGATTTCGAGCCCCGAGCGGTCTACGATTATTTCAAACGGAAAGTAAAAATTTTTTAGTCGACCATCTGAATCATAAATAAGCAAAAACAACTAAATAATCCAGCGAAATAGGATTACCTTATTCTGAAATAACTACGAACAAAGCCTGTACAGTTTAGCGGAGAGGAACAGCTGTATTCTGACGTTTTTACGTGGCTTCTTTCCTTGCCGGCTATATCCCACAAAGTTACGGATCCGAACCGATAGGAACACACACACGGCAAGTCGGGTAAATAATTTTTGAATGGTATACATATAACAGAACAGATACGGTGTTTATTTATTAGACTACAGCGAAAAGAAATGTTTACCTCGACCTTAATTAAGAATCTAACGAGCATTTAAACGGCTAACGGACGAACGACCTCTCACGACGAGAGAATATCGCATTTTAGACCGACATCAGTCTTTCCTCATCAGTTGGTGTCTGCATCCGGTAAGCAGCCTTGATCACAAAATGATTAACAAAAATATAACCTACTACGACTTTACAACTACCACAGTCCTTGGTATATGATATCACTGCAACGCTGGTCATAAAATGAATGCTTTGGAGCACCCATGCTTTCTAGTAATCAAATTTTTTTTTCACTCTTTGACATTTGCAAAATATATTATTTGAATAAACATTTGATCTCCTTGGAAAATAATTTACGAAAATAAATTTAAGGTACGTTGGTTTGTATACTGAGAAATTTATTTTGTGATCAAAGAATCTTCGAGGAATTGTTCCTTTAGCGAGATCGCCTTTTTATTTTCTCTTGACGGCAGCGGCTCATAACACCTGCCCGCGTGTACGATTTGTTAAAAGTTTACGAGGATCGAGACATTTTCAGTGGCACGGAAGACAACTTCTTCCGAAATTTATTCTAAAACCATCAGGATAAGTTAGCAAAGAATTTCGCAGTACTTGAAACAAAATCAAAGGATTTAACTTGCAAAAATAAATAGGATCTATCATATTTTGTTTCTTCCGTCCTGAAGAAAAACTCAACGGTGACTCACTGTGTGTTTATAAAGAATTGTCAACATAAGCAAAAAGTGCTTTGCGTTCAGATATATTTTTAAACCGTGATGCAATTTAGAATTGGAAACCGAAAGTACCCAGAACGTATATCCCCCTTATGTATAATTATTTTGTCCAATCACAACTCTTGATGTCATGAGTTGCGGTTCTTCGTTCCGAAAAAAATAACACAGATAATTTATAATTTTCGTACAACAGTGGAAGACCAGTAGTCCTAAATATCACTACATGTAAACTGAAATATCAAGGATTTGAATCTTGTTGAATGAAAGGCGCTCAGAGTATTACACCATCTTTGCGAATCGCACATTTAATTTGTAAGAAGCGAGTTTCAAACGCTGATGAAACTCGTTGAGGATTTACAGCATATTATATAGCAAGATCGAAGGTCAGTTCTTCGGAAAAACACACAGCACTAGACAATTGGTAGGTAATTTTATTTAATACGAGCTTTTAAAAACTATCTCTCTCTCAAGCGTTCGTTTAAAAGTCTTTCAGTCGACTTTGTCCTGTTGATTGAGGGAACTGTTTTAAGCAAACGAAGCGAAACACGTCCTGCTTGATTTCACCCAGACAGAACGCCGGTTAAACACCTCCGTTACGAAATAATTCAAAGGTTTCAATTTCCTTCCCGATTAGTAAAAATCTACAGTTCTTCTAAAAACCAATTCGAATGAACCCGACACAGTTCATTCAAATTCAGTATGTTTAATTCCACTTGCAGCATTTTATATCGACCATAAATTAGATAGAAATCGAGCAGGAATTTTAACTCGTTAGCGATTTCACTGCCGCAGTAATTTTTAATTTTGTAACAACGGACTCGAGAGTTTCTTCAGTCTAATATTAAAGGAGATCAAAATAAAGGATGAAAATAAGGGAATTGAAGGTTCTCTTTTACACGGCCGGCGTCCCACAACTATTGATAAAACATCATAACAAATAAAAATTATAATCAGTTATCATGTTAAGATTGTCCGAAACAAATGCAAACTTCCGGTTTTTACTGACTCGATGTTGATCGAAATAAGGAAAACTAGCTATTATGTGAATAATAAATTATGATGTTTTTGACTAATTCGGGCATATGATATCCTGTTAAGAAAAGTTTGTATACGTAGCAGTTACAGGCAGTGGCATGGAAATTCCTTGGTTGTAAGCTTCTGAGACGGCCGGGTCAAGGGTCGAAATTGCAATTTTATCAGTTATCGCACGAATTTAGTTATATTTATTGTTGGATGACCGTCGATCGTGTTTAAAGTTTATTTTGTAATAGGAGGACAACATCAGGCATTTTTATGGAAAACTCGTTTTCTTCTCTAAGTTATGTTCAACCCATCCATCCATCCATCCATTCGTGATTCAACCACGTACAGTTTCAATTAATCAATTAATTAACCAATCAATCAATCAATCAAATAACCAGCCAATTTATCAGTTAGCTTAATCAGGAATATACCCAGCAGTTAATTGACTAATTAATCCTTCAATCAATCAAAAAATTGTGCAATCCATCCGTTGTCATTGAATAAGTAAATTAAAAATCAAATTAAAACAAATGATATAATTTGTTTGAATTGACGGACAATGATTTTTTTAAACCGTGGCAAAAAGGCTCTTCGACTCAGTTTTCAACAACATTTTTGTCGCTTGCGATGTGAACCTGGAGAGAAGCCGTTTCCACGATAAAAAGATAAAAAAAGATAAATTTTTCTTTATTTTACGACATAGGCATTGAAACATGAACGAGAGTAGTGCACCCACCGTCTCTGCTAAATCTTCCATCTGGCTATGGTTGTTCCGCCCATTTTCCATCATAATCACCTGTGCGGGCCTGGTGATGTTTGTTGCGGGAATCACCTCATTTTCAATTCAAGGAGATGCCAGTGGACACCGGATCCTTCTGACTCCCGTTGGAGGCTTCTTGTTAAGTTTTGGCGTGTTGCTGGCTATCGGCATACAATGTCGGGTTCGATTGAGGGAAAGAGAACGGCAAGAAGAATTGCGTCCTAACAGCGATATAGTAGATCTGACATCGGAGTTTGCCTCCGCTAACATTTCCACGGAAGCAACTTCACCGGCTATGTGGCGTCACTCACCGGCAATGCTCCCAACATGCCCTGGTCCTCTCCGAAACGAAGACATTCCCAGCGCAAGGTCCATTTCCCCATTAGTGATTGATATGACTTGTTTGGTAAATATCGATGAAGTTTTGTTATCATTGGAGAATCCAGAGGCATTTGAGGTCCCCCCGTCTTACGAGGAAGCGATGTCTTTGGCTTGACATCGTTGCCACCCTGACTTAGTCTCCACTTGCAGGGGATGGACGTGTTAGCCTGTTGTAAATTAAAGCTTACTGCATAAAATGTACACTGAGATGTTTTTAATCTTCTTTGTCAGGGGCGTTACTAGGGGGGGGGGGAAGTCCAGAGGTGCCGGTTTACCCCTCCCTCGTTGGTGAGATGACTTTGTATGACGTCAACAACATTCTTACTTTACAATTCAGGTTGGCGAGAACGTTCGAATCCAAAGACGCATAAGTTAGAGCAGCGGTACGTAGCCACTTCACGTGAGAGGCGCCAAAATTCGTAACTGTGACTCCTTCCTTTCAAAGCCTCTAGCTACGCCCCTGTAAGTTCCACTAATTTAATTTTATCTTCGCCTCACGTACGTAGTTCTTGGCGAGTAATCGCATGTTTGCATGATATAAGGGGTTGGTTCGCCCTGCATCTAACTTCCCATTGTTTTTATTCTTATGTAAGAAGTATTATTCCAAATATAAATCATTGTTCCTTACAAACAACAACGAAAAGGATAAAGCTGTACGAATATACCAGGATGTTATCATATTTCTTAAGCGATTGAAATCTTAGTACAATGTGAACAGCCGAAGAGAGAGAATGAGCTGCTGGGATAAATTGTAACAGTTTATGGAATGATTATGAAATTATTTTGATATCATAATAACAGCTGCACTTAAGAGGAAGAAAAACAAAAAATTTACTTTGCACCAGAAAGGTGCATTGCCGTCTGTGAATCCTGTACATAACGTACTCGATGCCTTTAGCAGAGCATTTCATTAGTAAAGAAATTTAAAATTTTCATGCGGATGTTAGATTTAGGAATAGTCCACTTACGAATTCTAAAAACCTTTACTTTCGAAATGAGGCCAAGAGTTAAACATTTATTGCGAAAATAAGCGATATTTGCAAGAGCATGAAACTCTTTTTCGTATCGAAGCTTTTGTTTCTTCCCCCGTTTTGAAACAGAGATTTCATGCACTTCGGAAATTGCTTCTTTTACAAGTATGGTATCTACGTCTTGCGTACCTATAACTGTAGCGCGCATTTGCAAGAACGTGCTTGACGGCATTGCGAAAGCCAGCATCGCGCTATTTCAGAATCTCGTTTACATTCAGTCGCCGGGAATTCAAAGATAGCATGATATTAAACCAGTTAAAAATTTCAATGATTTTCTTACAAAGATATTTGAAAATAAGTAGTTTGGAAATCGATGAAGGAAAGTGAGGCACAATCACAAGCCTGAACACTTGGCTTCGATGTCTTCCAGTTTTGCCCCGAAATAATGGCTTTCAATAGCTGAAAGAGAATACTGTCAAACTTGATATCGACCATATAGCTCCACGAGGATGAAAGTGTAGCTTCTCTACGCAATTTCAAAACATTATTCATTCAACAAGTGATAAGAATTGATAAGCATATCAATCAATTGGAAGGTGTTATCCTGTTCCAACACTAAGTTCTCTCGAATGCTACTTTAGGAGGAATGAATGTGAAACACTTAGAAGAGAGAATTGTAAATTAAAAAGGATAGGAGTTCTAGTCTTAAATTATTGTCTCTGCTTCTTCTTTGGCACCAGTAAATCCTTCGTGGTCCATAACAACAGTTGTTATTTCACTTGTTGAAATATCTGCTTGCGCCCGGTCATAAACAGATTCTTCTTCTGGCAAACAAGATCGATATGCCAAATTGACGACTATAAAGTAGAACAACCCAACCATATACACAGCCATTCCGATTAAAACAAGAATATTCTTTGCGCTGGCTCGAGTTGACCACAGCCCCATGCCGCTACCAACAAGAGTTGCTCCTGCAGCGACAACAACCATCGGTAGAACACAAAGGCAGGCCAATTTGTGGCGGTACAATTGTCTATTTTGCTGCGGGTGTGTGGGTGGAGAGATCAATTCGGACATTTCAAAACGATATTGCGTAAGTGGAACCATTTCGTATCTGCGACCTTTTCACAGACAGTGATTGAGCAATTGGAGGGATTTTGTTGCTCATCATGATCCTGGCTGGCTTTATCTATTTGGGTTAGATCTTACTTTCACAGCTGTAGAAGGCAGCTCCACTGATGGTGCCAACGAAAAAAACAACGTAATCCAGCGGAAATATCTAGGCCGTGTTCTTTGGAGCAAAAACACTTTAAAATAATTTTGTTTTATCAATAGAGTTCATAAAATCGACACTCATTATCATGCAGTATCAACGGACGCTTTCAATTAAACTTATCTATTCTGTTGTTTTAATTGTTACCATGTTCTCACCTATTAAGTAACAGCATTTTTCTGCATATAAACTACACATAGCCAACAATTCTTCTTTTCCCTCTGACGAAGAGCTAACTCTTTAAGGTGTAGAGAAAGGTTTGTTACATGATTTGGTTATATTTAAAGTTGAAATAGGAGACCCTTTCTGATTGAACAATACAAACTGATTACAGACGAGGAGTAATTTCAGCTAGGATTAGATCAACACTAGAGAATCTTATTGTATCTTACGGAGAAAAATAAAAATCGAGAAGTTTGCAAAGAACGGCTTCACTTGGCATTCACAACAACGGCACCCAACTCACGAACATTAGCAACTCAGCTGATAAAACAGAATTATCTTGAAATATCCCTCTTTGGAAATGTAACAACGGCACCATCACAATTTCCTTAGAAACTTACGTAACCCTTTACGTAACCCGTCAGATTTTGTGGGTCAGCTCTTTCAACCGGCAACATACCAAATAAAAACGATTGAAAAAGCGTAGATTGCTGCTGCTGTTGTTTTCGCGGGCTCTCTCAAAGGTCGGTCAAGGGATCCAGCTGATGGTTGTGCCCTGCTGTAAACAAGACCCAAATGAAAAACAAAACAGGAAAAAAGAGCAGCTGCGTGTGCTCGCATGAAGCATTGGCTATGGTTGATGTACCAGCGACAATCCTGCGTTCATTATGGTAGGAAAGTGTATCTTTTCAAGTTGTTTTCGAAAGCTCAGTTTCATTCTTCGTACAACCCTGGCACAGCTTCTTTCGAATATCCTCAATTTCTAACAGCACACTACAACACTAAAGCAGCTATTTTATTTATCAATTTTATTTATTAGCTTTGCCAACAATACATACAATGTGGAACATGTAAATTCCATAACAATAACGGGCAGGCAACCACAACAGGAGTATTAAAAGACTAAAACGATTACATCAATAATTAATAATTAAGAACAACATGGAGTTGATATTGTTTCCAGGCTGCGACATGAATTACATTTTGTGCAGATAGTTTTATAAGTCCTGGGATTGTCAATGTCTTAGATCACTTGGATGAATAATAACACATCAAAGCGCGATTGAAGTCATTTACAATGTTCATACTTAGGTTAAGCTCGTCTCACGGTGTGTTCCAGATTTTTTTGCTCGTACAATAAATGACCGTTGAAAAGTTGAAGTCTTGCATTTAGGTACAGATTATTTGTTAACAGCTGTATTGGTAGACGATCGTATGTGTCTTGTAGAGCGAGCAATAGGAACAATTGTAGGATCTATATCCACCAGACATGGGTAATGGATTGTAAGTCTTATTATGGCCATTTCGAGGTGTTACCATGGTTACCACGTTTTAACCAAATGCGATTAAAGAACTGTCTATTGGGAGGCCTTCATCCTCACGTGATAGTGCGACTTGCATCTTATGAAATTTTAAAAAGTTATCTCACCAACGAGGAGGGTTTTATACCCACAGGTTACAGGCTCCCGAAGTTCCCCTCTTTGTCGGTGAGTTGACATTTTATCACGCAAGATCGCTGTAGTTCGGTCATGAAGAGCTGACAAATCATGCGACGTCCATTTAATTTTAATTTAATTTAATCATTTGCGACGAGTCCATTACTCGGAGCCTCCATACCAATTTTACCCTTGAGTCAACCCTGTCCCGTATCTTTTTATTTTTAGAATTGAGATATGTGAGGGGTTCTTTAATTTCCCGCGAAAACACGCTGACTTTCCGTGCTTTTCGCCATTATTGAAATACTTTCGTGCGACATGCATGTGACGTAAACAATAGATGACCAGAGCTCTCGTATGATTGGCTACTATGTAAACACTCGCGAAAAATCCTGTGGGAGGTGCCTCTGAAAATGAAAAGATACTGGACAGGGTTGACTTAGAGGGTAAGTATGGAAGATGAAAGCTCCGGGTAATGGGCTCCTGGCGGCGTCAATAAGTTCTGCTCGGAAAAATAGACAACAAAAAAGGAAAAACAACAAACTATGGCAGCTTGCGAAGAACATTTCTGAAAGTCCAAAGATGCTGAACCATCAACTGAGAAGAATTTCCTTCGGAACAAGGTATAAATGGGAGGGTCAGTCTCTAGGCTTTAAGTCTTTAAGTAGTAGCTTAATCTCGTAACCAGATTTTACCGTGTAATTGTAACTGAAACGTAACAACGGCTTAGCCGTGAAAGGTCTGAGTACGAGACTAATAGTAGCTAGCCTGTTCAAGGCGTTCAGTTGGAAATACAAAGCACGACAGCAAACGGCGCGATAGAAGCGGAGGAGTGAAAAAACGAGGGAGGTCTGGGTCGGGTCGTGTAATACACTCAACGCGACCCGACCCAATCCTGCTTCCCTAGCTTTAGCTCTTCTGCTACTATCGCGCCGTTTCCTATTTCGCTCTGAACGCCTGGAACAGGCTCAGTAGAAGCACGTTGACGCACTGAGCTTGTGTACCCTGTGCTAGCACTACATGTCTTTCACAATTAGAATGCAGATTTTGCGAATTAATGACGACACGATCTTGTGGTCGCATGGTGTGAAGATAATTGGGAAATGTTTAGACTGACATTTAGGATTGTTAACTAGGAGACGAAAATTCCTTTCCTACATATAAACAGCTCTTTATAGGAAGATAAATTTGAACATTATAGACTAGCACTCTGAATTGTCTCTAGAAGATGATAACTCTTTTCCTTAATGTCCTTTCGGTCTTTGTTGAGGAAGTCACCTGACATGTTTACCACTGGTCATCAACTTTCGACATTCCAAGACGTATTTCTTATCTAGAGGGTTTCATATCTTACTAACTCTGCGTAAAATGCTATACCTGTTGATTGATCCATTCATCCATGGACTGCCTGAGGGCGTCTCTTTGAATAAGTGTTTACAACTTTGGCAGTTATACAATTAAAAATTAATCATTTACGCAAAATTCTTAACATTTCACGTATATCAAACTTACTAATCAAGATGGTTATCAACTTTGCAACAAAGAAGACAAAACATTGTTTTGGTAGAATTGCTCGTGTTCAGAAAGTATACTTTCTCTACATTAGATTTTTTTCCCTTCAGTATACACATAATTGCTGTTCTTCCGAAACCAAAACATTCTAGCGTTTAAGAATCATTTGAACTGTTCTGACGTGCTGCGAATAGTTTTGATGATTAGGTTATAGTCGAGCTGATTAATTCAAACAACATGCTTACCTTGAACACAATAAATATGTACCTCTTTCTTGGCACCGATCCAAAGTTTGGTAGAAATTTTAATAATCTTTAATTAAAGTTCAAATTCTGAAAGCATCTGATATTCTTCAATTACTGATCCATTTTAATTCAATTTACAAAAACTGTTGGTTCCGGCCATAGAAAGGTCCACAAACTGATTCGACCGATTTATTTCAAAATTGTCTCATTATCAGTCGTTTTTCGCAGACATAACGACATTGCGCTCGATTTTCCTCTCCCTTTTTTTCCATTGATCGGTTCAGCCTCATTAATCGATGGTTCCTCTAACACTGAATATAATGACAGTCGTATGACTTTTAGTCGACCATATTGCCGCATGTTGTAAAGATTGGATCCATAACAGTGGCAAATGAAAAGCCGCTCAATTAGAACTCGTACTTTTTAGAAGGTTTCTAATCCTCACTTCTAAAGGTCAGTACTTGTCTTTTTCGTTTTTATTTTTGTGAAGTCCGTATCACCTCGGCTCCTCTTGCCAAAGTTAAACCGCAGCCACAAATGTAGTTTCCTCGCGACTCCGTCGAGGTCGTTTTCTTCCCCGTTTCGTCAAACCGTCGCAAACGTGGCCGCACAGCAAGCAAAACAGAATGCCAAATACAAACGTTATTGCACCAGAGATGATCATAGGGGGAATGTTTTTTAAACAGCCAGTGATGAATACCGTGATTCCTCCGAAAAGTATCAAACCAGGCAGCAGAATTATGGCCAATGATCTACAGATTGTTTGCCAGCCTAGAGACAGAAGGTGCGTGAATGCATTGTCGTGGCTATGTTTTGAGCCTTGGTTTCTCCTCTGATTACCTTTGTAAATAGGTATCCGAACGGTTGATTCTACTTCCATTGTCTTCCCTCCCCAGTTTTTGGGCCCAGCAGTAAAGTTAATTAAAAGTCTTAAAGGAAGTTTACAGATTTAAGGTGTGATGCCTAATTAAAAACTGTTGAAGCTTACTTTCAGAGTCATTGAGGGCCTGTTGTGACTCACTCTTATCGGCAACGTTAGTTTTAATTAAGTGATCTAAAATGTTTGTCCCACCAATTCCATAGATGACCACGACCATAAAGGCCGTCAGCGGGAGGTTCGAAATATCTCGCTAATTAAGGTGTAATCGCCGCGAATTATTACGCTTTTTGTTTGTCAGCGATTGCAAGTCAATAAGCCGCAGGAAATTATTTATATTAACCACTGTTAAAGGGCCTCTTCACTCCCTTTCGATTAACAAACTTTTCAGACAATAAATATTTAAAATACTTTTGAATGTTTACCCGAATTTCATGGTATGCTGCTTGATGTTCCTTGAAACAGTGGATCTCAGCATGGATTGTCTGAGGTAGGCAGTAGCCCATTACTCGTAATGGGCTCCTGAGCGAGGTCATTATCGATTTTCTTTTTTCTCTCTCTCTGGATAGGAGAGACACCAGGTCTATAGAAAGTTAAGTATTTATTCGTGAAAAATAGCACAGCAAGAGAGAGTTCAGTATCATTAAGAGGATGTGCGATCGGTCTCTGAGCGTAGACTTAGCGCTGATCAGACATGAATGGATGAGGACTCGACTAAACAATCATAGCAATTTATAAAGTAAGTAAGTTTGGTTGCCATAGAATGCGGATCAGGGACGACGGAGCCCGGAGTTTTAACCTTTGGAGCTGTTTTAGTAGTTCATGCTAAATAAAGCACGAACCTGACTGTCATAGAAGCTGCCACATCTGGGTCGATTCCCTCCTTCCTAGGAGAAAACGATGCTCACAAGTGACCAAGCTTCCTGTTGACTCAAGAGCAGACATGGAGAAACAGCAGCTACCGTGGAAAAGAGGTTCAAAGGGGCAGTTAGTACAAAGGAACTTTGGGTCTGTTCAGGGGAACAAAGGAACAGTGGGAGTAGAGAAACAGGAAGCAGAGAGGAAGAGAAGAACATTTGATAGAAAGGAACTTTGAGCGTGTACAGAAGGACAGAGGAACAGTTGATACAAAGGAACTTTGAGCGTACTTAGGGGAACAAAGGAACGGTAGGAGCAGAGAAACAGGAAGCACAAAGAAACCGTGCACACAGAGGAACAAGTAGCACAGAAGGACGCACAGCTTCACAGCCTGACACCGACGGGAAGAGTGGAGCCAACGGAACTGCGGCAAACCATAATAAGCAGGATCAACAAATACAGAAGAGACACTAAGGAAATTGGTGTTTTGATTTGGGTTTGTCATTTGAGATTAAGTACCCAAGTTTTCCATTTGTTTAATGGCCCTGGATTTTAAATGATCGTGACCTCAGGTGTGAGCAATTGTTCCCGCACTAGTTTTCGTTTACATAATCGGTTCCTTTTCTTTTGTCCAGCGTTATATTTAAAGACAAATAACGCAACCGAATACACTTAAAATTTTTTCGACAACTCATTTACCTCATATGATCCCTTGGAAGTAGTACGTTTTATACCAAAAAGTGAGAACGTGCTTAAAAGCTGATAGCGTAACAAGATATGCTAATCTATAACTGCAACATTGTGCAATACGGGCTTAATCTGGAAAGTGCACGACCGGAACGGTGAAGATAAAAGAGGGAACAATTTGTATCTGCTTTCTTATCAAAAATTGATTAAAGAATTAACAATCGATGTTAAATATTGTCCTTTAAATTTGGAATACTTTTGCTTTTTGTAAAATCCTTTTCAAGCTAGCGTGATGATTGTAAGAAATACCCTCTCTGCTTTCAAAACTGTCATCGTTTGTGTCGATTACATTACCGGCGAAATTAACAAGCTCGTGACGTCATAGATCAATTGACCACACGGACGTTGTGTTATATTTTGTGTGTGACAGGAAAACGATAAACGTAAACATTGCTCCAGGCGAGAGAATAGTTGTCGCTTTTATTAGGGGCTGACTTTGCACACGTGTTGGCTTTGATTCCTCCGAAGATACTCTCGTGTTTCAATGGCCAGATGATTGCTCAAAAGCAACGTAAAGGGAGATAATGCGTGAAAATGTAACTGTCGAAATTGGTGAGTCGCCAACTAATGTCTCCCAGACCAAATGGCAGGAGTTCTGGAGTTGGAAGACCCGATATCAACTCTGCGCCATTTGCGTGGTTCCTTTCGTCTTGATCTTCATTGGTTGTGTGCTCCTAGGACTGCACTGGTCTGGATCTTTTACAAAAGGCTCCAGCCAAGCTGTGCTCACTTGCGGAATGGTTTCATTTTTTAGCGGCTTCCTCGTTTGTGTTATCGCCAATTTCTGCGACGCCTGTGGCGTAACATGCAGCAATCACGATGAAGTGAACAGCAACGACGCGCAGAACAACACCATGTTTCTAGACTTGAGTGAACTTGGACCAAGGCCAAACGATCCCGAATTCGACGACGATAAATCGGAAAACAGTCCCCAAACAGAGGTGGACCTATTTGAAAACCATTCGGAACCCCAGAGAAAATAATTCATCAATATCACCATGAGTTATTTCTGTTTACTGCATATCCGATGACAGTTTATTTTTGATCACGCAAAGAGAGTTCAATTTGGAGTTTTAGCTGATAAACCTTTGAAAATAATCATCCTGATGTGCAAGCCGTGAAATAAACCACTCGACCTCTGTTTTCTAGAAATGTTTGCCATTCGTGAACTAAGTTCATATTCTGTGGTGCGTTTTTGTTGTGAATAGAAAGGTTGCGCAATAGCAACTACAGCTTCCGTTTCGTCTGACAAAAATTGATGAATAATATACAATTTGTCTCTTATTCCAAAGAAAAATTCAATACTTTAAGAGGTAGAATGATGTAAATATTAAAATTTTGACATTGAGGACATCAATTCAAACAGTAAGACATAAAATCAAGTTTGTAATGCTTTTAGATATTTACGGTAATTTACATTCTAGCAGCCGCGAATACGTTTACGATTCGCACGTGAATAAATTATTCTAATTTAAGTGAAAATAAATGTCTTGTCTAGTCAAGTTATTCAAATATTTTTTAGATGCTGAGACTCTTTTTAGAGTGTTGCATGCTGCATAAGTTGGGGCTAGTGTGATTTACCGGCTACAGCTGACCGGTTGGAGGAGCACTTTACGAAAGAGATGTCTCCCGCTTTGAAAGATCAAGATCTCTGTTTTGTTGTAAAACAAAGGGTGGAATTAGCCCCAAAGCCGCGACAGATCAATGGACGATACAGAAGGAAAAATCAAAATTATTCCTTCTCGAAAAGTCGACGTTTGACCTTCTTTCTCTTTGCCATAGTTGTATTACTGAGAAGGAGAGCACGAATACTGAAGATAAGTATTTCAGTACAGTATTTCAATTTCCATTAGAACACCCCAGAGGATCAAATCACGTGCGGTCACGGCTGGCTTAGTTGACATTAAACAAGCGGTGTAAATTTAATGGGTTTCGTATAAAGCGGTTAATTTTTTTTTTCTAATCCATGATCAAAATATGGCTTGATTTTGCTAACTATCGTGACTACTTTTTGCTTGAAAAATAGTAATAGTAGGAATAGTAATTATAATTTCAAAAAAGACAAATTTAGCCAAATGTGCGCTAACACAATTGGAGTAAGGGTTTATAGCAGACTTGCTGCACAAACTGGAAAGAGTGCGCTGTGAATACTGCACTGGTAGGGGAGGGGCGACTCGAAGGGATTTGAGGGAACTCATTTCAACTTTTTAAATTTACTCAGAGTGTAAAATGTCGAATAATGCGATAATTAGCAGACCAAATTTGAAAGGTGTTTAAATTTGAATTCTAGGCAAAAAGCTATAGGAGCGACAAGTGACCCACTATAATTTGTGTTCGTTACATAAATCAGCATCTAGAGTCGATTATGGCGGCCAGCACGCAGGAGAGGCAAACCATGCTGTGTAGATTTTGAAGATGAGCTAATCTACAAACTCAACAAGCTCAGAGAAACAAAAAGTCTCTAGATCTGTCATATAACGACTCGAGCCCAAGGACACTCTGGCAGAGCAGTCATTTCTTGGGTGAGAAATGATATGCCAACCAGAGAATCTTGATTTTCAGAACTAATGAGTGTGCCAGACTATTTTCGATGAAAAAGTTAGGTCTCTAGGAATGTTTGACCAAGAGCTAGTTTCCAAGAATGCCACTTGCACAAGCGCTGGACATGTTTCTGTATCCGGTTCTCGCCCAGGATATTTCACATAAACCTCGCGTGTGTTTGAATAATGAAGATGTGGTGGTAACCTGGTACTCATTGACGGAGCTTTTAGAGATATCTATAAAGATGAAATTTATTGTTTTGTTCTCGCTGCAAGACCTATGAGTCCCTATCAATGATGACTTTCCCTTGTTCCAATCATGGTGTTACCGTGTGTGGAGGACTCTTGTACGTAATGGGTAGAGGGAATCCTAGTGGTTCAGTGTGTTGTTTCAACCCCCAAAAAATGAATGAAGCGCTCTTAACACTGAATATCACAGATTGGAATGAAGTGTCACACCATTTAATGAAGAGTTTATTTAATTGGTGGAGAGGATTACTGGCATAATGCTCATATTTTCAATCTAGTTCTTAATGGATGGAGACAAGGAGTATCTATGGAATTTGCTAATTGCTGAACACAATGCACTTTTACTAGAAGAACTTTTTTTGTCATTGCTGATTGCAATGGTGAGCATTGCCTGAACAGTGCAGGGTGTTACAATCCATCAACAGGCCAATGGGCCAAGATTTCAAATATTTCTGATGTCTGAAGGTCAGCTGCTGCTGTGGCAGTTGGTAGAAAAATTGTAGTTGTTGGTAAATTTGGTGACATGACAGATGTCAATATGAAAATATTTAATCCAAGCATAAACCAGTGGAGCCTGGTACATAGTCTTTGTTTCTGGCTTCAAGTGGTATTGTGGCCACAGGACACAGTGTTTATTTGTTTGGAGGTGAGAATGAAGGTATAAACACAGAGATGAAGTGCAATGTTCTGATTCAAAAACTAGTGAATGGCATGAAATATCAGTTATCCCAGGCGGGTTTTGCTAAGGGCTAGAAGCATCTTTACTTAAATTACAAAAAACAATCATCAAAAACAGTCACTGAAATCCTCTCTTTCAAAGATGAGGCAGTAGCCCAGGTATTTCTAGAAACTAAAATTATTACAAGTGGAAAAAAAGAACTTGGGAAGTAATTTCTATGGGAACTATTCTTCCAGGAGCCAAATCATCAGGACTCCTTAATTTTCAACTTGTGACTTGTTGAAATTCCATACAGAATGTGTTAACAGGTAATTTTATGTGTCCTTCATCGTTTGGTTATCAGTCAACATTTCATATGACTTAGATACCTTTGTTGGCCAACAGCTAATTAGATATATTTGCAAAACTGATATTTATGTGAATAATGTGTGGAAATTTGCTACACTTGAAAAATTTCATATTAAACATTTGCCTCACTTACAAGTGTGTAACATGATTGATATACCTTGTAGTTGACAGTAATTGTGATGGAAATTTTTCAGACAAGATGGTATTTTGAAGGGAGTATTTTAGTGTATAGTTTAGGAGTGCTGAAATGTTGTTTTTAGCCTTGTCATGGGCCAGTTTTGTGGCTCATTATGAACATCATTCTACCATTGTGTTAGCTTGATTGGGCATTTATGCATGCTCCAATCAGAAGTGGTTTTTAGTATGTTGAAATCATTAAGAATGACCAGCTCATTGAAAGGAGAGCTTGGAGGAAGAACAGAGCAGGATCCTCCTTATAGGTAGCGGTGCAGGAGACTTTCATTCCTGAGCCAAGGAATGTTCCAGCTGGATTCAACTTAACTAGCCAGTCTATATGCCTTCTCCTCCCAAGGAGGAAAAATATGATGCATACAGTGGTGGTGGGGGAGGTAAGGGGGTGAGTGATCATGAGAAGTTTACACCTCCTGCCCTTAATTCCCTTTGTAAAAAAGATCTTTGAACTTACCTGCATATCTTTATAAGTATAGAAGTATAGACTAATGTTCTTCATTGTGAAAACATAATTACCCATTCTGTAATTTTATGAAGTTCTTGGTTGGCTATATATTGGTGCAGAATCAGACTTTTGGTGAAAGTTTTTGCTAGTATATGAATAAATAAATATTATGGCTACTATTAAGTTTACTTATCAGATCAAGGGAGTTTCACTGTTTATGGGTTAATTAAATAATAAGCTGGATTATACACACATTTTGACTGCTTCTCAGGTATTATTGATTTGAAGACAGACGCATAGATTATCAACATTTTGCTTATTTATTGTGGAAAGCAAATTGATTATATGTGATGGAGTGTCATTTCTGCAATTTACTAGATGTAGAAAATGGCAAGAGAAAGCAAATCTCAACAGTATAACTTCGAGGTTTGGTGGAAATTACGTTGCAGACCGGAAAAGAAATTTACATGCAGTCCAGGAAAGCAGGAATCATACAACAAAAAAGACGAGACGATTACGTAACAAACAGCCAGCTATAAATTGTGTTCCTTACATGAACAAAATTTTGAACGCCAGTTGCGCGCTACGATGCCACAATGGCGGCCAGCAGAAAACAGTTAGAGGCGGAAATTAATGAAAAGCCTAAAATTATGAACGATGATTTTAGGGAAGAGTTACTCCATGAACTCAACGAACTCAGAGAATCGAATTCTCTCTGTGATACAACAATTCGAGCCCAAGGAAAGGATTTCCCAGCCCACAGATGTGTTCTGTCAGCTGCAAGCCTTTACTTCCGGGCCATATTTAAATGTGAATTGAAGGAAAAAGAAAGTAACCTTGTCGAGTTAAAAGAGATGAAATCTACCACGATTAGCGATGTTCTTCATTATATTTATACCGGTGAAACAACAATCGACTCTTCCAACGTGGAAGATTTGGTCGTGGTCGCCGACTATTTGATAATTCCAAGTTTAAAAAAGGAAGCTGCAGTTTTCCTCCAGAACGAAATGATGAATGTTTCCACTTGTTTGGCTTTAGAATTGTTCGCTTCTCAGTACGATTGCGAACAACTAAGGCAAGCCGCAGTTTCTTTCCAAGCTGAGAATTTTGTAGACGTGTCTAGATCTGAAGATTTCGTTTTACTTGATTTAAAGAAAGTACAAGAACTGATTTGCATGGACGAGATAAACGTGGCTGAAGAAGAGGAAGTGTATGAAGCGGTGATGGCTTGGGTGAAACATGATCTACTATCCAGGGAGTGCACCCTTCCAGAATTGTTGAAATCAGTTAGATTGTTTTCAATGTCAAAATCCAGTCTTCGGAGAATACTTGATCAAGAGCTGGTTTCCAAAAGTCTTGCATGTACGAGGATCGTGCGGAATGCGTTGGATTTGTTCCTGTTCCCGGTGCTCTCGCAGGACATTTCACTCAAACCTCGCCCGTCATTAAATAATTATGAAGATGTAGTGGTACTCACAGGCTATGACTTTACACTTGATGAAAATGATGACAACAAAGTTAATTGTTTTGTTCTCGGTACTATGACCTGGGAGTCTCTCCCCACGATACCTTTCAACAACGAACATCACGATGCAGCTGTGTGCGGAGGACTCTTGTACGCAGTAGGAGATTTTGACTCGACTTCAGTAAGTTGTTTCAACCCAAAGCTAAATCAGTGGAGCACTCTTGATACAAAATTAAAATGCAAAGAGTGTACAATCACACATTTTGATAATGAGCTCTTTGTGATAGGTGGTGAGGATTCTTGGCGTGATGTTCAAATATACAATCCAGTTCTTCAAGAGTGGAGACAAGGAGCATCAATGGAAGCTGCTCGTGCAGGACATAATGCAGTTTTACTTCAAGGACATATTTATGTCATTGCTGGTCACAATGGTGAGTACTGTCAGAACAGTGCAGAGTGTTACAATCCATTAACTGACCAATGGGCTGAGATTTCAAGTATGTCTGATGTTCGAAGGTCAGCTGCTGCTGTGGCAGTTGGTGGTAAGATTTTAGTTGTTGGAGGATTTGTTGACATGTCAGTTGCCATTATAGAATCTTCCTGTGAAATATTTGATCCAAGTGTCAAACCAGTGGAGTCTGGTACCTAGTCTAAGTATTCCTCGTGCTAGAAGTGGTATTGTGGGTGTAGGAGACACTGTTTATTTATTTGGAGGTGAGGATGAAGAGGAAATGAGGTGTGAAGTGCAATATTTTGATTCAAAAACAAGTAAGTGGAATGAAATATCATATATTCCAAATTATCCTTTAACAGGCCTACGAGCATCTTTGCTTAAATTTCCCAAACATTTTATGGAAAATAATAACTGAAATCACATCTTGAAAGGGTTGAAGAGTTTCTCAGTTTTTTTCTAGAAATTCCAATAAAAGTCAATGACAGAGAAGGGTCAGGGAAATAATTGCTCTGATCACTTTACCTGTACAACATAATTAATATATACTGTATCAAATGGCAATTATGATAAAGTTTTTCATTTGAGGTGGTATTTTGAAGGAAGTATTTCAGGGTATAGTTTACTGGATATTGACATTTTTGTTACCAGCTGTGTCATAAGTCAGTTTTGCAGCTCATTAATGTGAAATGTTAGAGTAGGCTTGATTGATTGATTGATGGATGAAATAACCAACATTTTCTTCAGAACAAAGACATGTGACTAAAAATATGTTCCCTTTGGGTGCAAACAGGACTTGATTGATTTTCAAAACCCTCTGAGGGTTTAGTTTATTACTGTTCAGCATGTAATGTGCAGGTCTTAGTAAAAAAAATTGTTAATTTAACAAAAAATGCAGGAAGGAATTGCATACCTTACCAGGTTTTGATCAAGTTCCTTTTAAATGAGGTTTGGAAGTCCATTTGTTTCACTATTAGAACAAGACTTGAAGGGATGTCCCTCAATCTTTAGATGTTTGGCAGCAAACATGTCATGTGCATCCAGTAAGAACTTTTTTCTCTGTTATCCGCCCAAATTTCTCCAATGAAAATGATAATATTTATTGTTTTAAACTATTTTTATAATACTAGGGTTGTGCCCTAGCAAAGCCATGGTGCTATGTCAACTAAATTTAGTCTTTGGGTGAATTGTGTAACTATGTTTTGTGTTGTGTTTTGGATAAAGAATGGTGCCTTAAAAAAGGAAACAGACCATTAATTAAAACAAACTACTGAACTATCATGTACAGCTAAGTTATGTAATATAGTGAACCAAAATTTGATTACAATGAATCCTACACAAATGAATGGAGTAATTAACAATAAGTTTAGTTTCTATTTACAATTAACCCTCTAATTCCCATGAATGACCAAGAGAGAATTTCTCCTTACCATATCAGATCTATACAATATCAATCAGATATTAAGTGATGAGAATAAAGAAAATTATAAATTAGGGGATAATTAGTTGATCCAATACTAAATTCTCTGAACTAACATTATAAGAATTGTACGGTTGACAATAAGGAGAATTACAAATTTGATGTGGGATTTAAAGGGTTAACAACAGATTTTGATTCAAGAAAGTTGCGTACCCCAGATTAATGTGATTGATAGAAGAGTTTGTAGGATAAAGTGCTAGGAATACTGAATTAGAAGATTGTGTGTTTCCCTTTTACATTCAAACTTGTGTAAGAACAAAAGAGACACAATGGCAGGTTAGTTTTGTGTATTAGATGCTGGGTGTATCCTAAGCTTTGTTGCCAGGGTGCTTTTTAGACTCCGCCTGTGAGTTTCAATTTTTTATGCATTTGTAGACATTTGGTGATATGTATTTTTGTATTTTTTTTTAGATGAAATATAATAAATGAATTATCTTACCAAAGTTTTGATTCAACAATGATTAATAGTTAAGTGTCTCTCAGTATTCTCCTCATATACCTGATATATAATCATTTGCCCTCAAAGGTTATTTTTATTTCTAGAATACTCAGTAAAAGGCTCTCTCCAGCTTTAACCCTTCTGGATTTTCCTCCTCCTTTAGTGTGGACCATGGTCAAATAACTACTGCTTGCTCGAAAATAAGGGGAGCTGAACAAAGTCACTCCAATTTAGTTGTCTTTTTGGCCAGGTGACCTCTTAAGCTGGCCTATTCAAATTCTAGTGATATTATGTGACTTTGATTATAATGGGGAGACAATATCAACCAAGTTCCTCTCAAGTTCTTTATTTTTACTTGACTTTGATAATGAGTAGAAAGGGCTTTGAAGATTAAAATGAGCTCACTTGAAGATTGAATTTGTTTCTCAGTTGGTACACAGGTGATAATGCACAATATCTCACACTCTCCGCCAGAGCTTGCCTGAAATGTTTCCAACCATTTGTCTCTCGGTATCAAAAGCTCACAAGGCCTTTTTATTTAAAATAACTCTCTGAGTTCGTGTCAACATTCAGTTATAGGTCCTATTTCCTTGTCAAAGAATTTGGAGATGACAGCACAGTGGATAAGAATTACTTCAAATAGCCTGTAGCTTTTTAACTCAAGGCTTGGCTCTTTCATACACCTGATGGAGATAAGCTGACTTTTAAAACCGCAAAAACAAATCTGCATCGCATCTTGCGTATGTTGAATCTAGTGTGAGTAATTTGTTATGCGGAACTTCTGTTACACAATGAGTACTAAGGGGTACTAGCGACAAGAGATGTTGAGCATGGCAAGATATCTCCTCCCACAACTTTCACTAATCAAGTTTATCTCTAAAATGTTATTATTTGTTTTCTACCTGTTCTAGAAAGCCTTGCCTTTCTCACCCTCGACAACAACTCACTACCAGTATTCAATTATTAACTTCATCCATGATTGTAACTCTGACCAGTGACCAACATAAGATCAACACTCACTTCATCAAAGCAACATCATTTTCCACGTTTTCCGACATTCTAGTTTGCCTTTAAGAAATATACTTATTATCATTGTGGTGAGGCGGCCAGATGTAAGATTAATACTGTACACAGGAGAGGCAAACCATGCTACAAAGATTTTAAATGTGAGCTAATCTACAAACTCAACAAGCTCAGAGAAACAAGAAATCTCTAGATCTGTGATATAATGACTCGAGCCCAATAAGGACACTCTGGCAGAGCAGTGATTTCTTGGGCTAGACATGATCTGCCAAGTAGAGAATCTTTAATTCCAGAACTTCTGAAATGTGCCAGACTCTTTCCAATGAAAAAGTTAAGTCTCTAGGAATGTTTAACCAAGAGATGGTTTTCTGAAAATGCCACTTGCACAAACACTGGACTTGTTTCTATTTCTGGTGCTCACCCAAGACGTTTCACAGAAAGCTCATTTGTGTTTGAATAATAATGAGGATGTGGTGGTACTCACTGATGGAGTTTTTAAGAGATATCTATAATGATGAAATTGATTGTTTTGTCCTTGCTATAAGACCTAGGAGTCCCTATCAATGATGACTTTCTCTTGTTCCAATCATGGTGTTGCAGTGTGTGGAGGACTCTAATGTATGTAATTATTGGGTGGAAGGAATCGCAATGGTTCAGTGTGTTGTCTCAACCCCCAGAAAATGAATGGAGTGCACTTAACACTGAATATCACAGAATGAAATAATTTCATTTAATTAATTTACTTAATTATTAAGTGTCACATCATTTAATGAAGAGCTCTATTTAATTGGTGGAGAGGATTACTGACGTAATGTTCAAGTTTCAATTTAGTTCTTAATGGATGGAGACAAATAAGGAGCATTAATGGAATTTGCTTTTGCTGGACCCAATGCGCTTTACCTGAACAGTGCAGAGTGTTTCAATCCATCAACGGGCCAATGCGCTGAGATCTCAAGTATGCCTGGTAGATTTGGTGACATGACAGATGTCAATATAAAATCTTCCTGTGAAATATTTGATCTAAGCATCTAAATGTGTAAACCTCAGGATAACAAGAAAAAGACAAAATTCGAAAGGTTGTATAGGTTAATGGATGAGGATCTTAAAATTTTCTCTTCCGCGAAAGACTTTGGCGTCACTTTCTCGAAGGACTTGAAGTGGACTACACACATTGCTCACATGGTTGCAAAATCTAATAGAATGCTGGGATTCCTTAAAAAGGAACTACTCGGGTGACCTCAATAAGGAGTCGTATATCTCCTTTGTGCGCTCTAACCTGTGCTATACCTCACAGCTTTAGACGCCGCAGTCTCCTACGTTGATGCTGGGAGTAGAAAATATCCAAAGGAGAGCTACACGTTTTATCTGCAAGACCTCTGAAATCCCTTACAGGGCTAAAAATTGGCGGTCGCACGGTCGCCAGCGGCGAGTTAAAACTGACCAGGGCCACCAAAAGGTAAGGTTTGAACGCCCGATGTGCGACTACGCTACAGACCTTTTCACAGTTCCCAGCGCCATATTGAAAATGCAACCACGCACACGTGAGAACGAGGCTGCGGTTGACTCGTGTTAAATCTCTGTGGGCGCTTTTGGTGAAGCTCATACTTAGGCAGTAAAATTGTTCGATTTTTAAGGAAAATGGATGGTCCTAGCCGAAATCTCGATAAAGCTAATTTTTCTCCCAAAAAGAAAGGAGAGTAGTGTGCCGCTTTTGGTTGTTCAAATACATTTTATAGCCCCAATGGTTTGCCTACGAGCTTTCACTTCTTCAAGTTTATATCAATCAATTTGATGCTTCAAATTGGAAAAAGAAAAAGTGAGTTTCACCAACTAAAAGAGTTCTCAACACAAAGATGAACTGACACTAAATTTTATTATTCACAAAATTGTCCTCATAATAAGAAGTTTGATAGGAGTCTTGCAAAAAATAATTTCTCATACAATCCGATGGTCTGAAAGATTCTCTTTCAAACAAATCTTATGGTAACTGTAACAGTATAAAATAAAGATCTTGATTTGGATATATTTCTCAATCTTTTAAGTATCTCAAAATTATATTATCATAACATTGGTTAACACAAGGCAATAAGAACTAGTATAGCAAACCTTTGTGCCAGAAGGCCTCTGAGTGCTAAGAATGGGAATATCAATTCACTGAATGTTTATCACTGACAGAAACTTAAATGTGTGTGAAGGACTAGCATTGCCGAGATCAGTAGCTGAGAGGAAGCATTTCTGCTCTCTTCCTTTAGGCCTTAAATACCCAAGATCTGATTGTTAATTCTCCCTTCTAGTTGCTACACATTTACTTGTAAATAAGTTATCAGAATTTGATGTAAGATCAAGATAACTTCTGCCTGATAAGTTTCAGTATTATCATTATCTGTTTGCTGGATAGTGTTTGGATATTATAGGGAGAAGTTACATGAATCAGTCACTTTTGGGAGTTTTTAAATTGTCTAATATTTTGGTCTGATTCTTTCAATGCTGTCTTGCCACCTAATAAATTACCATGAGTGCAAACTCAAATGGTTTTCAATGTATCACAAGCATAAGTTGTCCTGGGCCAGATGGGTTTCAAAATATTATGACATCTGTCAGTTACAGTTTCCCTCATGGGTTGATAGAAAGAAGGTTATAATCAAGTGGCTGTACAGGCTCTATTGTATAGTTTCCCATAAGATACAATGTACAAATGGCAAACTAAAATACATCTTGGTAAACAAAATGGGAACAACTTTAACTGAAGAATATGGTACAACAACAAGTACCACATCAACAACAGCAGCAATAACAAATCTCCTCTACCTAGAGGGCTGCAGCCTTTGCCTCGCTTTCTTAGGTATACTGAACAACTTCTGTGGTACTTCCTGTGATGCGTTCCTCTTAACACGATGTGGCGATATTCTAGTGAAACAAGAAGGTAATCGTAAAGCTGAATGAAATTAATCTCAAGTAAATTACGGAGATCGCTCGACCATCCAAGGGCTGAAATCCTTACCACAGTTGCTTCGTATTTGAAGTCGCTCTAGTTTTGTTCTAGGTCCTGGACATCTGTAAGAAGTTCTTGGTTTTCTCTACTACTTGATGGAAGGACGTATCACATCAGCAAAGCATAAACTTTCGATACAAGTCGGCTCTAATTCCGCCCGTCGATTTTGAATTAGATTTCCCTGAGATCTTTTGCTTCGAGTTTCTGGATGTCATCTAATGACGAAATTTCCATATTGTTGTATTAAAGAACCATTTTGAAGGGAGAAATCGCATTGAAAAGTGCATTAGAACGTGAAATGTCAGCAGATCAGCTGTTTGAAAGAACCGCCGGGTCAACCCAGCCTCGTTATCGTGTGTGCACGGTTACTAATCCAATATGGCGCCGGGAAGCAGAAATTTTTTTTGGGATCACTTTCTGAAGGAGCTTAGAAACCAGGCTCAACTCAGTAGCCAAGCCTACTGAATTTGTGCCCAAGCCTTTTCTTGCTTGCGTGACCTTTTTTGTCACACTAGAGAATACAAGGAACTTCGGCGAGTAGTAAACACAAGCTCAAATTTTTAAAGCAGTAAAGAGGAAAACTTTTTGAGACTGAAAGGTAAGTAAGTAAGTTTTTTAGTGTTTTACAACCTAAATTTAGTGTTTCCTATTGTAATTTTACAACGTACAGTAAATTGTCAAATCAATAACTCGAAAAGCCTACAGCTAAAATTTAACTCTTTATTAATAACCTTATACTTTCTTGATCTGATATCTCATTTAGCGATAACACCAGAAATAATTTGTTTTCGTGGTATATACTATATGTTTACCTAACTTGTTGAAGTACGTTGTCATGAAATAATGCACTTAGCAACAATTAATCTGATTACACAAAACTGAGTTAATGTTTAAATTGTTCCCTAGACTGCCTGGACTGCCTGGACATCTGAGGCAACTGATAATGCATTTTGGGAGTGGTAGGGATGCTTACTTCATAGTGGCTATGGCTGTACCTGTCCTTTAATTTGCCTTGTTGTTTGTAATAAATTTTCCTTGCATTGTCTGTTATTTTTTTTCAGGAAATTTTAGTCTGCAAGAAGAAAATTCTTTTACAGAAGAATCCTTTTCCTGTAACGTTTACAACTGTTGCTTACGTTTACCATATTTCTGATATTTTTATCATAACAGAATTTTTCACAAAAATTATTTGACATTGAATTCTTATACAAATACTGCAAGGTCAAGTCTGCCCACCAACCCATCAAGGTGGTGTTGAAAACTGCAGTAAGGTCTATTGAATATAGTTAAAGTACTGAATTTCACTCCATGACTTACTACTACAGAATATGGGGCTTTTTATGATTAGGTACCAAACGAAAAAAAAAATGCTTTCTTGGCTCATTTGCATCAAGCCACCTAATATAATTCACAAAGATTATTTGACATTGGATTCTCATACAAATACTGCAAGGTCATGCCTACCCACCAACCCATTAAGGTGGTGTTGAAAACTGCAGTAAGGTCTATTGAATATAGTTAGAGTACTGAATTTCACTTTATGAGTTATAATTACAGAATATGGGGCTTTTTTATGATTAGGTAAAAAACAAAACAAAAAAAAAGCTTTCTTGGCTCATTTGGATCAAGCCACCTAATATAATGCAATCAATGTCTTGTTTTCTGTATCATGAGTCATTGTTCAGTTGGAATTGATATTTAAATCTTAATTATAATCATTTAAATCCAACTGAATGTATTTCTTTCATTACTTTTCCACTGACTGCCAAACCAGCGAGCCTTAAGGCATTAAACTGTGAGGACTTTAAAAAAGGCCCTATATTGTTTACATGTAGCTGCTTTGGGGGAGGGGAGTGGTAAAGTTTCAAATTTGGTTAAGAGTATGTAACACAATAATAATAATGATAATAATGTTAATAATAATAATAATAATTCATTTTTTCCATCCTTTGTTGCAAACGCATCTGACCCAGAGCCATCATTGGAACATACCAGAATAGCCTTTTTATTAATGGAAGGCCTCAGTGATGCACAGATATGATATGAAAATAATTTTCTCTTGTGTGAGGCATCAGTCAATTTAGGAATTACCAAGTGTAAAATTTCAAGTCAATATGTTCCAGAAACTACTCATTATTGTAGAGGGTGGAGCAGGGAGGGGTGGAGGGGTCGAAATTATTAGGTTTGCGTACCGTTTTCACTCTTTGCACCCTGAGCACTCAGTCACGCACACTTCAGATGGATGCTCAACACAACAGCGTCAAAAAATAATCAAGCAAATAACTAAGACGTGCAAAGCTTCCACGGTGAATATAAATTTACCGCTATAAACAGTGAAAAGGCCTTACAGATTTTACACGTAGCTTCCTTGAAGGTACAACTTCCTATGACGTTCTAACAAGATTATCAAGTTGTCAAATACGTATTTTCATATGATTGATACCAATTGCTTTATTAAGTCGAAATAAGCTTAATGTCAAGAATAAATAAGCGGATTACTGCACTTACGACGAATTTTGTGGTCCGTTAAAAAAAGTACTTGGTTCAATTACGTAGTTCACCGAAAAGTTAATTTTGTTTGCCTGCTAGGATTTCTTTTAGCATTGAATACATTTTCAAGACCTGTACTCAACGAGGTACACTTCTTGCGATTGTTCTGCAATCTAGCGAGTCCTTCGGAAAAACGTCACCGAGAGCAGAGCTAAGACACTATTCAGAAGCAAGTATTTTCTAGGTTTGAAATTCCCTTCGGTTCCATTTGACCGTGAGTAGAGTTTAGAATTCACGAAGAAAGCGTATTTTAGCCAAAGGCAGAAGATTCGTATTTGAACGGAGCGCAGCGAGATAAGGTAATATTCTTTCACGCGAAAATAAAAAAAATAGGGTTAATAGATAACTTCCCATTTGTTTTTTCTCGCGCAAGTAACAAAAATGTTCCCTTCCCTGTCCCCATCCAATCGCACTTCAACCAGTCGGGGGAGGTGAGTATAGAATTGTTAACAAATCATCAGAAGGCTCGGTTACCTAATTGAGCCTGGTGTCTAAGCTCCTTCAGAAAGTGATCCCAAAAAAAATTTCTGCCGCCGGGAACTGCAAAAAGGTTGAAAATAACAATGTAAATTATGTGACTTACAAAGTTAAAAATAAAACTCAATATATAGTTTAATTGGACTACCCTTCTCTTCTCTTTCTTTGCCTGGACTGTAAGGTTATCTGTTTTGGTGAATTTTTAGTTCTGAAGTGGAAATTCCGAGCCGTTTTAACAGTGATTTCACGAGCGATCCCCATTCACAACAACTACCGACTAAATACAGGAATGGCTCCGACCTGTAATTGGATGATAAAAATAGTAAAAGTTAATAAGTTACATCTTAGCTCTTTGCTCGTGAGTATTCTTAACCACATGTCTCGAAGCGGAACAATGAAATATCAATGCGAGTGAAAACACCGATGTGTCAAACAAGAAATGGTTACTTACGTAGCGAAGGGAAGGCAACCTTTCTTGTTCAGCGAGATCGTTCAGCGATATTCCGGTGATCAAAAAGTAATCGGCTGACAAGCTTCGTTGACAAAACTCATGTAGTCAGTTTGGACGGAAGCAGGAGCCATTACTTATGATGGGCTCCTGGCGGAAGACCAGAGACTGGGAGCCACGGTTTTAACTGAAAATTTTCAAATTTGAAAAATTGAAGAGGTTTTTAACAGATGATGCCTGGAAAGCAGTTGGCAAATGAGGTTAGGATGGCTCGTGTACTTTACAGAAAATGTGGTTTATGTTCTACTCATTCTTTCTTAAATTTAAGTGGTATAAATACCTTGTTTAAAACTGTAGTGTGATACAATAGCAAACGAGATAAACTCGTTCCAATACAGCGTCATGTGATGAACAGCCTTCATTAATTTTAGAACAAGTTTTATAAAATCATTTTACTCTTTCTTGTTATAGCCGAAAACTGTTCGAAGATTGCTTGTGCCATCACTGCAAAAAGTCAAGATACTTGACATGATTCAGTGCAAGAGTTACTACCACCGGTTTGACTGGTAAGACATTTTTTTCTGTTTGTTTCGTTTTTTTCCTTTTTTAGGTCTAGTGGAGTTGTTGGAAATTACCAGGCAAAATTAATCCGCGACTTTCTTCCTTTAGGTTTTGTGCAAAATGAAGATGAAGATGAAGAGCCTGATGAATGGATTTTTCCTTCATGCGAAAAATTACCTAGAAAATCAGTTTTCCACGAAAAAACTCCCTCGATTGCGGCCGAACCATATTTCTCCAACAGAGCATTCTGTAAATTAAAACCTCGGTCGCAGCGTCATTTTGCGTGATTTTCCAAACGTGACATGCAGTTTGGCCCTGAAGTAGTAAAAGAGGGCTTCATTTGCAAGCACTGTAGACTTCCACATAAGAAGAACCTAATAAATCGCTCTTTCACTTTTTATCTCAGTGTATAAATTATTTAACCGGAACGAAAAAAATTAATATACGCATGAGATGGAGCTATTCCTTTCCGCGGTGAAATACAGGAATGGCTCCAGTCTCTGGTCGTCCACCTGAACTGATTAAATGAGTTTTGTCAGCAGAACTTGGCAGCGGATGACTTTTTCATCGCCGGAATATCGCTGAACGACCTCGCTGAAAAAGATAGACTCTGCCTTCTCTTCGTTATGGAAGTAGCCATTTCTTGTTTGACACATCGGTGTTTTCATATTGATATTTCATTGTTCCTCTTTGAGACATGCGGTTAACAATACTCACGAGCAAGGAGTTAAGATATAACTTATTAACTGTTACTATTTTTATCATCCAATCACAGGTCCGAGCCATTCCTGTATTTAGTCGCTAGTTTCACAATATATAGACGCTTTTTGATTTTATGATTGCCACGTGACTCTGGGCTGACCCAGAGTTCCGTGCGGGATGGTTTTGAAGCGCACATTTTCGCTTTGTGAAAAGACTTTACACCAAGATTTGAATATGGATTTGGGACAAAAATGTGGAGATTCCTCCCCAGTTGTGAGCCGCCGCTGCCAAAAAAAGTGATAAGTAAGGAAGATGTCTCCGAAAGTACCAAAAATTACAAAACCCATCTTTTTCTACAATGATTTTTACAACAAGTACAAATAAATTCTTGCAGTTTACTTTATTTACTTAAATAAATAAAAACACTCAACACCTCTAATAATTTCATAGTGCCAAATGAATGGCCGAAATGTTAAAGAAAAATGTCTCATGGCATTACTGGGGGCATTGCCTTTTTGTGTTCTTTCCTTTTAGTTAACGCTCCGTTAAAAGCCATTTGGCGTTTATTCATGTTTTTTATTTTCAACTAGAGGAAATCGAGGGCTACTTCATTTTGGGATGGGCCACCAAGAATTCAAGGAAACTGGCCCGACTGGCCACCAAGCACTGGAGTTAATTTTTAGCTCTGCCTTACAAGGAGAGACTCTTGAACCTTAACCTCCTACCTATCAACTACTGGCTTGAATATCTTGATTTATTTATTCTCTATAAGTGTATTTACGGAATTATTGATATCAATTTAGATAGCTTTGCTCAATTTTGTAGTGGGCGTTCCCGTCGGGGATCTTCTGGGCTTTTTCTCAACAACAAAACCGCTAAAATATCTCTTTTCCGTGATTCCTTCTTCATCCGAATAACTAATCTGTGGAATACATTACCTATCGATAAGATCGGAGGTAAAGTTAGTTCCTTTTAAGAAAAAGTTAAAATCGTTTTTTTATAATAGACTAAGTTCAGTGTTCAATCGTGATGATATTCGTTCCTATAGGTTAGTTTGTCCGAAGTGCCGCCGTGCCAACAGCAACACATTGTTCTTGTTAATTTCTCAATATTTTTCTTTTTTGTTTTCATTATTATTTTTATTAAGGTTCCAGAGAATGGGTTGCCAATTTTTTAGGGAAATGGTTAAGTGGTGGGTTTACCCAGCAAGGGACCTAGGGTTCTATTGTATGCCCACCTACCTCAGGGCGAATTTTATAAATAAATACGTAAATAAATAAAATAAATAAATAAAGCACAAACCAGTGGAGCCTGGTACCTAGTCTAAGTATTCCTCTGGCTGCAAGTGGTATTTTGATCATAGGAAACAGTGTTTATTTGTTTGGAGGCAAGGATGAAGATTAACACAGGGATGAAGTGCAATGTTTTGATTGAAAAAAAAAACTAGTAAATGGCATGAAATATCAGCTATCCCAGGCGGATTTTGCTAAGGTCTGAGAGCAACTTTGTCTAAATGACAAAAAACACTCATAAAAAAACAGTCACGGGAATCCCCTCTTACAAAGATGAGACAGTAGCCCAGGCATTTCTAGACACTAAAATTATTACAACTGGAAAAAAGGGACTTGGGAAGTAATTTCTATGAGAACTATTCCTCTAGGAGCCAAATCAGCGAGACTCCTTAATTTTCAACTTACTGGTATGACTTGCTGAAATTTAGAACAGAATGTGTTGACAGGTAATTTTATAAGTGTCCTTCACTGTTTTATTGGCCAACATGCAACAGCTACCTAGTTTAACATTTGCAAAACAATGACAATCATGTGAATAATGTGTGGACATTTGTTACAAAAAATTTATATTAAACATTTGGCTCACGTACAAGTATGTAACATGATTGATATCCAGTGTAGGTGATGGTAATTGTAATACGTAAATATTTTTCAGATGAGATGGTATTCAAGGGAACATTTTAGTTTATAGTTGAGGAGTGCTGACATTTATTATTAGCCTTGTCATAAGCCAGTTCTGTGGCTCATTGATATAACACTTCTTTGTAAGCTTGATTGGCATTTATGCACGCTCCAATCAGCCTAAATGATTTTTAGAATGTTGAAATCATTAAGAATAACCAGCTCACTAAAAAAAGGGCTTGGAGGAAGAACAGAGCAGTGTCCTCCTTATAGGTAGCTGTGTAAGAGACTTTCATTCCTGAGCCTAATATGTCAATAAGTTTCTCTGCAAAATCAGAGGATGAAGCATCAGTCTTATAAACAATTAAGATTTTTACTTACAAGTATTTGTAAATGTAGCTGGAACTTCCAAATTTATTAGTGTCAAATAAATTTCGTAAATGGATTTAAACTTTGTGTTGTGAGCTTTATATCCTCAGTGATTAGACACCACTTAAAAGCAATGGGGAGGGCGGAAGGGGAGGGTGTAGCCCTCTAAAAATCAAACATAAACAAATACATTTACCTGAAAAACATGCCCCAAGTTCCTTATAGAACCTCACTTCACTGCCGCATAGTCTTGACAGCATACTAAAGAAAAGTGGAGGTATACAGCACCCCTCTTAAAACCCTTACCACATGTCAGACAAAATTATTTCCCTCCCAATAATAAGACAAAATTCTTCTTCACCTCTCAAACCACTAATGAGGTACTTAAGAAAGCTTGAAATGTGAATAACATAATGTCACACATTTGCTGGAATAAGTTCCAGCCTGGCCACTTATTTAAACTTTCGGCCAAATAGGAGGACACCTGTTAAGCTTTGCTATGTTCATAAAAACAATGGAACAAAGTATTCCAGACTAGTGTAAAAGAAGTGTAATAACCTGTCATATTTAAATCCTATTTTATTCGTGAATTCAAGCTTGACTAACAATGTATTGATGTTCTATATTACAAAATATAATTTTAAGACAGCTGTTTGGTACTCGCACCAATCATATCTTCACTACATACACTGGAATTCAAAAGTCACAGTTACTGTTAACGAGATAAAGACGGGTTCAAAATTGAAACTTCAGGCCAACGTTTTTCATCTGCGTTGTCGTAGCTTTCAAGTTTCTGTTCAAGTTTCTTTCTTCGCCAAAGAATTGAACGCGAAGGCTTGCCTTTAGCATCGAATTAATCTCCACTTTTTATCGCCCGAATCGTCGCTTGGGTCATGCTTGACTGAAACTGGTCAACAAATCGCTCAGCACAGCAACCAAGCTTGCTCAGAGAGTGACCGAAAAAATCTGGATACGAGAATTGAAGCAATGAGTGAACCAAAAATTTTGCGGCGGGAAAAGAGAGGAAAAGAACAATGATCACCTTTAAATCGACGTCACCGTGCGGTGGAACCTATAACTCCTGCAGTTCGTTGAGGGGTCACTCTTGCGAACTGAATTCCCAGTTTTCTGGGAATTCCTTGGAATTCTCAAAAACTCCCAACTAAGCAAATAAGCTCTGATTTGAAAAGCTTGTAATTACTGGGAATGTCTGGGAAAGGAAGACTCAAGTTTTGTGACAACCTGGAATTCCAAGGAATTCCTAGGAATTCTCAGCCATACAAGCTACTTATAATTTACGAAGGGCATAATTCTTGGAAATTTCTGGGAATTGAATTTGAGGCAATTTAAATACCCTGAAGTACAAATAAATTCCTAGAAATTCTCAATACCCCTAATGTGGAGTTTTTGAGACAATGAGTAATTTTAGAGGCTTAAAACTTTGGCTCAATAAAAGGTATGCGATAAAAAATTTACCAAGAGATATACATACATGTATATGTTTATAACTTAAAGATTGTAAAATTTATTATAATTCAAACTAAGTTTTAGTAAATCTTTACATTAATGTGAATTTTCTCATGAAGCAGCAGTCAATTATGTTAAATGCAAATTGCCAATTAATCCAATTTACTCATATCACAGATCTGCTTTCTAACCTCAAAGGATTCTTGGATTCTATGATCATAAAAGTTTTTGTTGTGATGCAAAATGTCTTGTGTTCATGTGTGCCAAAACATTCATGAACGGTTCCTTGCTACACAATTTTCACATGTGTAACGATAATTACATTGTTATCTACACTTAAAGACTTTTATTAGTTATAAACATAAGTTACTTCCCTAATCTACATTACTAGTTGCCTTTGTTAAAAAACCTTGGAACAGTCAAGCTCAGTTGGCTCAAACACTGTCAGAGACTTTTTGTTCACCTAAGTTTTAGTAGAAATTTCATGCCTTCGACAAACAAATTTAACACCTAATTAATCTTTCTTTTTTTATAATTGTTGTTGCTGTTTTTGTTCAGTTTTTTGCTCTGTTTTCGTGACGGATTCCTGTTATTTGTTTTGTTGCTCAATCAACCAGTCAGTCTTTGACAACATTTCTGGCCCCTGTCGTCTCTTAAACTCGATATTTGTGGTTTCCTTACTAGTTTCCTCCCCTTTCCAGCACACGTCTAAGAGATAATTATTTGCTTTCTGAGAAAAGACGGCTGCTTTTTGTGTTATGTCTCTAACTAGTCAGGGATTGTTCGTCAAAATTTTAGCTGAGGTCCGACCTCGAACGTAGCCACCCCCAACAGAATGGCAAGGCTTCGTCCGTTTCCTCTTTATCTCATAATGGGCGGATTTTTCTGTCAGCTTCACTTTGTGTTTGCCTTTGTTAAGGTGCTTTTGGATGGCAGTGGATGAGTGACGCATATAGAGAAATCGCGGCCTTCGTAATCTCCAATTAAGCTAATACGAGCTAGAATAAGCTTCTTCTTAGACGAAACGCATCGAAAACGCATGTTTGGGATACATTGACGTCTCTCAAATGTTTTTTTATGCTGTACACCCACGAATTTATGGGTATGAGCTATTGCCGTCCCTGGCCAGCGCGAGAAAAGTAACATTTGGTTCTACAGTTAGTTAGTTATTACAAGCTCTAGCTGTGAGATAATCATCTTGCGCAATAACAGTCATGGCGGAATTATAAGAGTTTGTATGGGAATATTTACGACCGCTCTAAGGAATAAAAAAATACGTCAAATGGACAACTCGCTAAAATGGGTTCTCTTCATTAAAGTAAGCGGTCAGATAACAAGCAATACGCTGTGGAAGTAAGGTGAGGTATTTTTTTGAGAATTTGACGTAATTTTTCATTCCTTAAAGCGGTCGTAAACATTTCCATACAAACTCTTATACTTCCGTTATGACTGTTATTGCGCAAGATGATCATCTCACAGCTGGAGCTTGGGCCGCCTATGCGCCATATTGACTCTATCAATTCGAGTTTTAGGTTGAATTGAGGCCTTTTTAGACACTCGATTACTTATATGGCATCACTATGAAGACGTAATACAACTGATACACCTACACCACATAGGATTAACAATGTCTGTTGCGCTGTTGCGAGAGGGAGGAAAATATTTCCGGAAGTGTAAACTCTTTAAGAGTTTCAGAGACGTTTCAGAGATGTCTATCCTCGGCTGTCACAAAACATTGACCACCTCTAAAATTTACTGGGAAAAATGAACTTATAAACTCCTTGTTGAAAAAATTGGAATTCATTTGACCGCTACGCCGGTTGTTTCAATTTTGATTTTTCCTCGGGCTGTTATAAAACAGTTCATAAATTGACTAATGAATAAAATATTTTGAAATACCGTTGGGAATTTGTCTTTTTTTCTGCGTGCAAACCAAGGGTAGACAAAGTTTTCAAAACATTTGACAAGAATTTCATGGGGCTCACCTCGATAATTTTCGGCGGCCAGAGTCAAGACGCGCCAAGCTAAGCGACATCTTCCTCTAGTAAAATAATTTTCCAAAGATTAAATGTGGTGAGCGTGAGAAAACGCACCTTTTTTTCATTATTGTGATCAAAGTACAATGATTTACCTTAATTGGTACTTACGGTATCAAACCATTGATTATGACAGGGTGAGCTTAATTTTTCTGTCGAGGTCGAGGCGACTTAAAGTTAAGAGAGTTTTTGACGGAACAAACCAGTGACGATCACTGCACGAACTGGGGAAGTAAAAACTTGTATTTATCTCCCCCGCGTTTCGTCCGATAAAAGTAGACTTCATCAAGGAGTTTTAAAAGTAGAGTAAATAAGCTTGCTGATATACAAATAGTAAATAAGTTGTCTCTTTACTATTGAAGCCAGTGGAAAGAAATCGCCAGGTACAGGTGCGCCTATTGTGATGCGTGACATTTTTCGGACGTTACATGTACGAATATGTGATCTGTTTGAGGGTCATAGATGTAGTGTACATATTTGACCCCTCAACGCATTACATTCTCGTCCAGGTTATGTCTCTAGTTTACAGAGGTCTTAGGCTGAAAGCGAATTTCTCAGTTGATGTTGTCGC